GAATACATCGATTGCATTACATATTACTACATGTTACTTTGAAATAACTGGCTTTGCCTAGAAAATCTTCAGACATACTCTATGACAAGTGATTTCAGGTTGAAATGCGCAAGTTACTGAAGCAGCATGAAGAAAAGCAGCAAAAGAGTACTGTGGACACACCTGACCAGGTGGGTACTAAAGAGGTTACTTGTTGAAGAAAATTACTGAGTGCTCAATTCAGGGTGCCGTTCCTGCCTATCTCTTGGATCGTCAGCAACAAACTACTGGTACAGTTCTTTCCAATATGATCAAACAGAAGAGGAAACAGAAAGCTGTAAGTGATTTGCCGGTATTTAGTGATTTTGAAAAGGCAGAGGAGGAGATTCAATTATCATCCGTTGTTCTTCACTTTTGTTCAGCGAAATTTGTTTTCAATTCGTGCTTATCCATAACTATGAGCAGAACCACGGGCGCTTTTGTAACTAAATGGGGCTAGGCGGCGGTGCGCCGCAGTGGTCGCACCCCTCCCTAGGCTCAGATTTGGAAGAGCGCAGACGACCAGAGTCCGCAAAGCCTAGCCCGAAGAGCGTCCAAGAGCTGATCTTGTGGCGCCACCACGTTATCCCACTCAATAACAGTGAGATTACGGCTCAGAGCAAGTGGCCTTCATACTACTTCCAGATCATATCTTCATGTTTTTTAGGGCAAATATCAAGTCCCTCTGCCTCAAGTTAGAGCTGTCAGTGACGCGGAGGCCTTCAAAGTCGTGAAGTCTGGCAAGACAAACAGGAAAGGTTGGAAGAGAATGGTTACAAAGGTATGTTGTAGTTATCTCCATTTTGTAGTCATCAGCATCAGAATTTCCTTATGGTTTCTACTGGGCAGGTTACCTTCGTTGGAGAGTCTTTTACACGTAAACCCGCGAAATTCGAGCGGTTCATACGACCTATGGGACTACGTTTCACAAAGGTATGTATTCGGCACTTCTGAGATGGTATTCTTGTTTTTTTCTGTCATTTTGCTCGCTGAATGCCTATAGAATGTTGGCTAGCATTATTATTCTGGTATGTTAGTTACGTGGACTATTCTATTTTTACTAATCACACTACTGATTCTCTGAAACCAGTCAGAACATTCGCTTAGAGGCAAATATAGATCCATTCAAGTCAACGGTACATTCAGTCATGATCTTTGCAAATGATAGGACGTGTGAAGGGGTGCGACTTGGGCAACAAATCGTTTCGGACTGAGAATGGCATCATTTTGGGAAAGGCCGGCCTGGCTGCCTCCAATCCACGCCTTGCCACCACACCCTACCGTTTGCAGGAATCATGAGCGCAGCTAGTAGGTGAACTATCACTTCCATATAGAGGGGGGGGGCAAAAAAGTCACTTTTCTTCCTTGACTTTCAGGGCGCTATAAGTTACACTTAATTAAATTCTGATGGGACATTTCCACCACCATATTCAACAGCATATTGTATACTATCATGATACTCCGCCACAGACGAGCGCCATCGAGAGATTCTGCCACGCGACCGTGATTCGGTACCTGAGTTCAGCGAGATCGTTGATTTCTCCGCCACTGTAGACCACCCTGTTGAGCTCCGCCCCGAACCGGGTAATTGAGGGGTTCAGGTCAGGTGACCTACTTAGGATATTCCATCTTCTTTAGGTACTCAGCCCCCTTCCATTCCAAGTAGGCGAGAGTTTCTCCAACGCCCTTCGATTCCATGTGGTGGCACCCAATGCTGTAGCAGTACAAAGTTTCCAAGAAGGTACGGGCGACGACATGAAGGCAGGATATTCTTCACGAGTTGGTCGATGTAACCGTCAGCGCTCACCTTCAGTCCGGGGTCCACGAAGAAATCTTCACATTCCAGGAACTTCCGCGCGCCTTGGCGACTGCGGTGAAGATATCCTGGACCGTAGCGACGTTGTCGGAGCTGCTCGATGTTGGAGGTCTTCCAGATCAAGTACTGGTCTCCAGGTAGCTATCCATGGGTGACTCCATACAAGAAGTTTCGCAGCTGTTTGGAGGTGACGTGAATTCCAAAGGCCTTCTCCAGTCGAACATCTTGGATATCTTCCGCCCTTACTCGTATCCACTCCCTCTGCCTGGGCCTGACTCTGCGGCTGCCATCCTTGCTCGCTGGCACTTTTCAAAGCTTCTTGCGTTAGGCAGCAAATGTCTCGGTCAAGACGCGATTTTTTTTTTCTCAAAGCCTGGGTTAGGTGTTCCTACTTATTCCGGTTTGCTTAATTTTGTCCCATCCTTTTTTTAGCAGAAATACAAAATCAAGAAAACTTGCACTAGTGTGACAAGTGGCGCATTTGAGTGCCAAGACTTTCGACCTCGAAAATTTTCTCCAAACTCAGTACTGCGGGCGACCTGCCCTTGGCGAGATGTTTGCTCCACCTTCTGCGCTAGACTGCACCTATTTTGAGTTTACGTTTATTTTTCATTCAATCATGAACATCTTAGCGACGGTCTTACTCCATCCACTTTTTATCAATGACTTTTTAGTTCTAAAAGGCAGGTCCACTAAATCACTCGCAGGCGCGCCTAAACTGGCCTCTCGACGTGATTGACTGTTCACGAAGGCATACGTGAGTGAGTTCGGCTTCGAGATCCGCGCGGCCGAAAGCGTGGCATGCATGAAATTAGGGCAAGGATTTCGTTGATTCAACAGCAACTGCTACGATGTGCCGAGTCAGCTAGCTAGGGATGTCTGTCTAATTAGTGCGCGTCAATGCAACATGGTTCTGCCAACGAAAACTCAGTGCCATAAATCCGTTCTAGCGATCTTCCCCGGTATGGTCTATTGGACAAACCCTTTCCGTGCAGCTTAACGGTCCTACCAACTTCCACGGCGCCGCGCTTCGCACAGCTTGGCAGGGTTTGACCATAAGCCTCCTAAATAATGCGGCCCTTCATTCGTTGTTAAATTTACGGAGTTTTTCTTCTGCCCGTTCATCTCAATGCAGGGGGGGCGTTTTAGGTCACGCTGACGCGCATCCGGAACGTACAGACGCACTCTGCTCTCCGATTGTTGGGGCAAGAGAATCCATCAAGGCCAGAATGTATACGTCATTAAGGAGGTGGATAAACGAAGGGTACCATAATCGAAGTGAACGTATCTGAGTTGGGTATGGTAACGCAAGGAGGAAAGGTGGGTTACAGAAAAGTTAACGCTTTCTCAGATTGCATCGCTGTTTTGTTTATAATGGAGGTTTTACCGATGACCTGATATCTTTTTAGGTTGTCTGGGGAAAATTTGCGCAGGTAACGAATAATCCTGAAAATGACGGTTGTATTAATGCGGTATTGTTGATTTGAATTGTTCTATAAAAATTCTGTTCGTTTACTTGTTTGAATTTATTTGAGAAGGCACATATGTTGTTTTGGCTTACTGGCCCAGTTTGTTGTTCATGGATAGCTAACCAGTTATTTACTATTTTATGTGAAGATTCATTTCCCTATGTTTGCACTCAGTTCCTTGTACATACTCAATGAAGGAGTTTCATAAACAGCCTGTTCCTGGAATGGAAAGAAACTTTAGCAGCGCGCCAACACTGGGTGAAAATTCCTTGTGAATACCTGCTACTAATGAATATCATGTGTCGGTTTTGCGTCGTTGGCGCCGGCGTGTATTCCCCACGGGAGTAGTTGGTGTCGGACCTATTGATGCCAGTGTGATGTGTTTTGGGCGTCCGCATTGCCGCTTTTCTATTATCCGTCATCAAACCTTCAGAGAGTTGTTCATGAATCATTGCTGCGAATTATAGAATTCTTCCCGAAACACGGGTATACGGTAATTGTTGCGAAGCGGGTTACGGTGGCTGTAAAAACGGACATGTTTCAAAGACAATTCACTTTAGAACTGATGATACATCGAGAACGTTAGTTCGCATGAGAGCAAGCATGTGAACTTCTGGTCGCTATGGAGCTAACTTCCATGGTTTAGTCCCCGCTCCGTTCACTTTTCCTGCCAGCTCAGCGCGCCAGCGCACAGACAATGTTGGACGCCTAATAAGTCTGAGCGCTGGCCCTGCTACGGAGAGATGAGGAAGTGAGCTGCAGGTGTCACCAACCCTCGTTCGCTGCTGTAAAATCGGCAACACAATGCAAGTCTTTTCTAGGACTTATCACCGTTCTCAAAGTTGCCCTATATCATTCCCCCCCCCCCCCTCCCCATCCTTTCGGCCGGTTGGGCAGGCGGCGACAGTTTTTTTTTTGGAAGGAAAGAGGATAGGTTTTCGAAGAGAATTCCGGAACCCTGTGAAGAAGATGGGAGGCTTCAGAAAATTCGGGAAGATAGAAGATAGCATGGGGTGGGGAAAGGTACGGGGGAAGCGTATTCCGCATAACTTTTCCCCACTTGGTAGGAAAGTGACCTGCTTACAGACACCGGGCTACAAATGTTTCTCAATATCAAAAGTGGAGTCAAGGAGTAGCCGAGCGTGTGAAGAACAGCTGGAGTACTATCTCTCGCTTTCCGCCAAGATTCAGCTGTTGTACCACTGGTGTCGTACCGCCGGCTCCTCACTCGCTAAGTTACGAGGACAACTACCCTCTCGCTCTGGTCACTAAACGTCAAAGAAAATGCAACCAGGCTCGAAGCGCAGCCAATCATGTTTTCTCAGCGGCTGTACCGTGCTTAGAATGGCATGGTTGATGGAAAACGGGCGCCCTGGCTGCACTCAAGTGCGCGCCGTGCCGCGTAATACAGTGGAGATTCTTTTCTCGACAGCTATAGATAACCGACCTCACACCACCGAATTCGATGTAACGTGGACTTCAAAGAACAGAATGCAATTAATTGTCGAAATTGTGTAGCTCATAGCAGAAGCTCACAGAACTTCATAAGCTGCAAGATGTTGACAGAACAGAGTTTGAAAGGTCCCCGTAGTGGAATCACCTCCCTTCCTGGATCACTACTTTTACACGTAGATAAAGCGATTTTTAATATAGAGTTCGCTCAGTCGCTGCCTGAGAATCCGATCCAACAACGATCTCCCGATGCAGGCCCCACCTAGCAGCCATGTTCGTGAGCGTGGCAGCCCCTTATACGGGAGGTAAAATCGCTGCCTTGTCACAGCGCCCTCGAAGAGTTTTATTTAGATCACAGCTCTAAAATCAGGCTTCCGCTTCTGCTGACTTCGCTCGGAGTCTCCGCTTCTTCCGAAGAGAAGTCCCTTTGGAAATCATCGGCAGCGTGTGCTGATGCCTCACTTTGAGCCAACAAATGCCTTCGCTTTCCAAGCGCTCTCTCCAGCATGGATTCTCAAGGTGAGGGATTATAAGTGAAATTGAAATTCCACCCAAAGGCATACGCAGAAAGCTCACAACGTACTGTCCGGTTTTCCTTAGAAAGAGAGACATAAGTGTAGGATTATTGCCGGTTATTTTTGGGTTTTTCAGCTTGTCTTGTACTGCTGCGTTTTGGCTGGCTAGGACGGCTTTAAAAAATTTTCGATTTGGAATGTGCTATATCACTCGAAAGCAGTGAGCACGTTTGCTGGGGTCGGCGGCGCGTTGTCACGAATGTCATTGGTGGAGAGGCTGAGTGGAGTGTGCTCGCACGCCCTCTTGCTGCCTTTGCACCAGTGACGCTGGCAACAACGTTCCGCCTCCTGCAATCGTTCCCACTGCCTTTTAACACCTCCAACCTTGAACGCAGACATGAGAGGCGCAGCGAAACGAACCTTCATATGCGCAAGTTAGAACGGTGTGTTGGGAATCGCGTTGCCAGCGACGCCGGTTTATCGCGAACCGATGTCACGTGCGCGGAATCGGAGCATGTTCAACTATTAGTCAGCCCTAACATTGCACAGCTTCTGCCCAATATGGCCAGAAAATAGCTATGGAATACTCTGCTAGTTTAGAGATGCGTCGCTGCAGGTAGACCTCTGAAACGACACTTGACCAACTTTCGCCTCACCGCTACTCTTAGTAGGCTACGCACTCTGTTCTTTCTTACGTTTTTA